GAGCTGTTGACAAAAATGTCGTTTTAAAAAATAAACAGAAATTTAATTTCTATCAAAAATCAACAATGAGAAAAACTACAAAATTAAAAGTCTTGAGTGACCTGTTCTCTGTATAAATTCCAAGATCAATGTGTTTTCCACTAGAGATTTGAAATTAGAGCTTTGAAATTCTAATTTTAGGTATATCACATCACTGATCAGAATTCTCGTCATTCAGCTCAGAACACAATAGTTGTATTTAGATGTCAATCTTTTTATACAAAAAAATGTAAACGTCATCACATATCCATGAAACCAATCCAAAATCATCAGCCATGCAAATGAATCATTTCAATTGGGGGTAATTTTGGTTATTACAAAGCAGTAAAGATAAATTTATAGAGTTCAATTGAGGCCTTTATAGTATTTCAGTATTTGATTGATATTTATGCAACTTATTTCACCGGTATTAGTTACTAACAAAAACCAATTCATAACAAATAAATTTCAGATTAGATGAAAGTTTAAATTGGTGAGTTCATAAATTCAAAAAAGGTGGAATAAAGAGGATTTTACACAGAGGATTTTGAGTTGTTTGCAGGGTCATTCTCTTCAAAGTTTAGGTGCATTCGAAACTTGCTTAATGTTCCATGGGCAAATCAAATATTTATGATTTAGTTGGCAACCAGCTTTCATAAATAAAAACGTAATTATCAATTCATGGTGTCAGACATTCTATTAAAGAACGATATTGAAAGATAATTAATTGAAAGGGGGGAAATGTAATTGCATCATATGAGAAGTTAATTTGATATTTGTTCTGATATACTATTGTATTTCAATTATAAAGAACAGAAATTATTCCCAATCAATCGCCATTTAATGTGATTATAGTTGTAATTTCTTAAAAATTTATCTGTAAATATTTTTGTCTTTGTAAGAGGATCCCTATAAATTTTTCAACATTTCAGTATGAACTAACTGAAAGAATAGGAAACATAAAATTAATTTGAACTTTCTCAAGACTCGAGAAGGCGAAAATAATACCAAAAAAAAATTATTCCTTGAATGTCGTGTAGATAATTGATTTTCTTTTTATTTTCAGGCTCAAGAACCTTTAACAAAGAGCAATCCTAATGATCCCGTTTAGATGATTTCAGTTCCAGTGAAGGGTACTCAATAAGTAAAAAGGAGTTTAGCTCAATTTTGAAAATATTCTTTCAATTGTTCCAAAGATCAACATCAAGGTTACATTCAAACCTCTAATTTCAAACGATAAGACTGACTGACACAAAATGTGTCTTTTACTGTAAATATCCATCTGGCAATAACTGACTGAGATTTTTCCCGATGCCAATGAATTTTGAGGGTTAACAGTGGAAGAATTATCAAGTGGCTTTATTTCGAATAACGACCAGATACATTTTTTTTACTGAAAAACTTCTCAGAAACCTAGTTTCGGTTGCTCAGAGTTCCACCTTAGTGGAGCTGTTGACAAAAATGTCGTTTTAAAAAAATGTATTATTTCGTTGTCATAAGGTGACTCTACAACACAAAAAAATACCTTCAGATCATCAACAAATAATAGAACTTCATTATCTATATCTAATCCTATGTCGTTGATGAACAGGTAGAATAGAAGAGGAGCTAGATTGCTTCCCTGTGGTGCGCTACTGGTATCACTGTATTTATCAGATTTGTGTCCTCTGTATTCAACAAACTGGGACCAATTCGTGTGATAGTAATAAAAGAATTTCAGCAGATTTGAATCGAAACCAATTTAAGTTTTGAAATGAGTATGGTGTGGTCCAACTTGTAGGCCTTTGAGAAGTCTGTATATATTGTGTCTACCTGAAGCTGATTTTCTAAAGCACTATGTAGTTTTGTACAACAGAGATCTTAGTTGCAGGCAATGCAACAAAGGGCAGATACAGCAAGTCATATTTTTTGCTAATATGAGGCACTCAGGTGGCAAACAATCTATGGACAACCTAAATTATGGTCAGAAGAATATGGCATACTTCCAGCAAAGTACCTGTACAAACTAATACAGGTCACAAGATTGAGATGGATGTCATGAAAAAAATGGAAGCCCATGAGGCTGCAGTGTTTTCCAAAGGCTTGGGCGAAATGGACAAGTCATACATCTCCCAACTAGTAGGCAAAATACTATTGTGTGATTTTCACTGAACATTTTACAAAACCGCAACATGTGTTTCACCATACAATAGCTTCCTCAGGCGTATTTCTATTCTGACTACTAATTACTATAAAATATTAGTTATTATGAACCACCTGAATATTATTTAGTATAAACACGCCTGAGGAAGCAATTGTATGGTGATACATGTGTTGCTGTTTTATACATTTTTCAATGAAAATCTCACAATAAAGTGTCACTTGAGAATAATGTATACACAACAAATTTTTCAAAATGAAGTCTTATTTGGTTGTTCATGATTTCATTATCTTCGACAGCTTTTATAGTATATTGGCGGAATCAAAATCATTGTAACTTTCAATACATCATTTTTCATAAGCAATGCAATTATTTGTGACACTCTTCAGCTATGACAAGAAATATTTAAACAATATTTGTTAATGAAGCTCGAAGAATTTTTGTACAACAAAGTAAAATCATTTGTATGTTGATTGGGTCAGGACTTGTAATCAGTTTTTTCACTTTTTATTTAGCAAGCATTTATGAATTTCTTCGATAGTAACTGTCGACAATATTTAAATTGATGGATGTAGCCTTTACTACGTGGTAGGAAATCATAATGAAGAAAAGAGAATTGAAATTTTCTATGTTTTTCACCACTTTTGTTTGTAACTAATGTTACTGCAGTTTCGTCTTATAAGGACTTTTTTAACTTATACATTAAACTCAGTAAAGTTTAATGTATAAATTTGAAAATGCCCTTATAGGACGAAACTGCAGTAACGTTAGTTACAAATAAAAGTGGTAAAAACTCAGAAAGTTTCAATTCTTTTCTTCGTCGACAATATTCTTACTTATTTTCTGTATACTTGTTTGAGGTGAGGAAAGGCAAATATCTCACCTTATGAGTACTATTGGGAATACATGAGTTTATCCAACAATCAGAAATCGACTGTATCCAGAAGGTGTAGAAACAGATATAAAAAAATAAATTTTTCAGAATGAAATCTCGAACTATTCATCTCTCTCAATTACTTACACAGGAGGTCTTGGAAATGCCCCCCTAAAAACAAATACTTCCCGGACTAATACCAAGCTGGGCACTGAGTTATTTCCGACAGACGTTTGTTCAAGATACCTCATTTAGGATAGTCTTGTAAATGCTTCCCTGCATACCAGTTTCGAAGTATTACCCTTAGTGCCCTGCTTGGTATTGGCTGGGGAAATAGTTGTTTTCCGGCAGGCATTTACCAAAATCTACTGTGTAGGTTCAAACCAGGTTACTTCACATTTTCGTTGTAAGTATCCACAATCGTCAGTTAATAACTAGCGAAGACAATTGTGGATACTAATTTTTAATTTTTCATTAATTTTTTTCTCATACATACCAAGACTGTTAACAATTTTTTAAACAATGATAACCTGTAATATCATCAAGAAATATTGTCAACCACATTCAAAGAAATCATATAATTGTAATGAATTCCCTACAACTGAATTAGTTCTAATTTAGTTTTAGACATCTGATGATGTTAAGTTGATGTTATTCACCTAAGTGAAGTGAAAGTGAAGAAAAATTGGCAGTTTTTTGAAACAGTGGTTCAATGAACTGAAAATGATTTTTGAAAAACTTTATTGAATGTCAAATGAAATTATACAGAATTAAAATCAAAAATAGCTCAGTAGTATGAATACATAATACTTTCTACTGAATATTCTAATAACTATTGTATTATACTGAACAAAACAAATATCTTTTTGGTCCTCTGCATATTATGGGCGCATCTGACATGTGGGTGTGGATGAAACAGTTTTATTAAAAATGTCTGCTTCTGCGTTGGATATGATATTGTAAATCATGCTTCTCACCTTAATCTGGTAAACATAAGGCATATTTTTAGTAAGTTTGTACATCGCTTGAAAGAATGAGGACAATGCATCATTATTATCTGCCAATACTTGACTTTGATCCAACGAGAGTTTATACTGATGCATGGGCCCATTGCACTGATTTAGCAAATTATTGACTACTCTATACACATCATTTTGGGCCCCAACACCATCTTCAGGCAACGACATTTCTCTTCCAAATTGAAATGGTTTGATGAATTCTAGAACAGCTTCGTTTTTATGCAGTTCCGTGACTCGGCGTGGGTCCTGGAAGCTACAAAAACATTTCAGATTTTAGAGTTCTCAGGAAAAAACGTATTGAAAGAATGTATGATTCAGAGATGACCTCTAAGCATAATTAAAGCACAATTAAATACTTACTATCAAAAAGACTCCACTTATATGAATAAAACTGCCTGTTGGTGGAAGTACAGCACCGTTGATAACTCAAAACTCATATGAATTGCAGGGAAACAAACTTATCATTCTACGCGCGAAACATGTGCGCCCTAATGTTACGCGCACGAATGTTGCTTTTCTATCAAATGGACTTCCATCAAGTTTGATCAAAAAAGAAATGTCACCGTTGTACAGTATAACAAAGATATGGAAAAAAAGGAGAATCATTTGAAGGAAAAGAAAAACCTCCGTTAAACTCAAATGTGCAGATCAATATTGATGCGCATATTAAAATATCGTTTTCAGAATTCGTTCTCAAGGTAGACACTATGAAAGATTGACATTTTCCATTTGGAGAAAATTCAATATTTTAAGGAATCATACGTTAAAAGGTAAGACCTCGTTAGTCCTTAGCTCGCACAAGTTTCGGCTTCTGAGGGTTGTCGTTCGTAGGAGTGCGATAACTGGTTAACGGAAAAACATTTAAAACATATTTTTTAAATCAATTCAATATTTATTCTCACAATCTATATTTGAACGAATGTATATTCTCGTTGAATTGAATAGTATGAGGGTAATGGATGTTTTAAAATCATATTGGTTACATTAATTTCGTTTTATACAATTAAATATAATGATCATAACTAACTGCTGCACATCCATGTGCATATCCGAAGAGTTTTTTTATGTGCTAGTCAGTTTTTCCATAATATGAACATTCGTTCAGTATAAAATGTGAACACAAGAATGAGTAATAATTGAAATCAGAAGGTGAAAATTTCAAGTAATTCTCCTTTTATTATTGATAATTTAACATTACTGAGGTCTATTTTACTATTATTGATAATTAATTGCGATTGTATTTCAGCGACTAGTCCTCTATATCACTAAAATAGTAGGTACAAATGTTTTTAAACTGGATAATCTGAGTTTAAACATGAAACAAAAAAAATAAAAGTTTCGCCCCTTTGTCGGAGGAGTAGACACTGCTCGTTAGATAGTTCAAACGTTATATTGCTTTCTGTGCTCTGTGCTTGACGTTATTGTATATTACATTTTGAATTTTTCATTTTGATTTGATCTGGGGTTTTTTTAAGAAAAAGATGGGAAACGCAGACTAAGAAAAAACAATTAGAAAATTGAGAAGGACTCTGAAAAGAGATTGATCTAGGTCGAGGAGCATCGAAGGCGTTCTTAACAAGTCACCAGGGATGATTTTTTTCAAGTTTTCATTATTTGAGTTATTGGCTAGCAGTATGATATGTATCAAGATCCCCTGAGAATTTATCAGTCGCAACGCGAGTCGTTCCGCGATGTCTCGATCGGAATTATAAGCTGTGATATCTACCATTTCAAGACGAAATGTCTAGGGATAGATATAAAACAATTCAGAGAATCAGAAAGTCTCCCACAACCCCAATTTCTTCTTGGATGAGACCTTGGCTGGTCAAAAGACTGACAGTCGAGTTCAACAATGTATTTATGGTTCAACCCAGCACCACTGATGGGGTCTTTTCGGGTCGAAAGAGCGCTGTCTGGTGGTGGATCATGAATGCTTTATTACTTGGGATCTGATCGGGTTTCATAGTGGCCTATGGGTTTTTATCGATTTTACTACTTTTATTCATTTTGAGGAATAGAAGGAAAGATCTTTTCATATGAAGTTGTATTTTTAAATCATCGTATTTCTGAAGAAGAAAACTGAAACCTATGGCATAGAATTAATCCAACACAAACGTTGCTTCCAGACACCAGAACTGTAACACTCTTGTCGATATGCACTTCACTAACCAAATTGGCATCATGAATTGAACTACATAATATCGCAGTATCTATTAATGACACAAACTTGATGAAAAACGCTCCCAGAACAATGTTTCAGTTTTGGTTGTGTTGGATTGAAACTATTCTCAACCGCCCTTGACAGATTCATGAGATTTCATGAATACTTCATTTTTAGTATTTTCAGTTGCTAATATTCAGTGTTAAAATCGTTATCCTTGTTCATTTTATCAATTAGTCGCCTTCCTTGTATTGTAGGTTTGCTCAAATTATTTGATAGCAAGTGTTTCCATTCTACCTGTCGTTGACAGTGTTGGATATGGTTTGTTCACCCAATTTATTGCTATTATTCTCCATTTAAGAGATCGACAGAAGAGTCAATCCACGAAAATCAATGATACACTTCCACGAGAGTCCTTTATACTTTTCTCTGTATCTCTCTGTGCAAAGTAACTATTTGAAACCAGAGCCTAACAGCTTCTTATATCATCAATATTCATGGAATGAGTCCCATAGATGGAGTCTTGATAAGGGAATATGTCATCGACTTTTCCTGTACAATAATGTCCATCAAAATATAAGTACTTTTTCTATTAATTAGATATGCATCTTATAAGATTCACAGATGAAATATATTCAAGTAAAATTGTACTAGATTTTACTTGAAAGTGGCAATATTTTTTTAACTATTAGTATAACTATGTAACATTTCAAAATTTCTCTTTATTTATTTGGAATAAGTATGTGGGTATAATATAATATAAGAAATAAGAACCTTCATTAATTTCCGATTTGCTCATAGAGTTCGAAAATGAACAAAAAAGTCAAATCTTTGAGATTGATCAGCTCAACAATTACAGTAATATTTTTGAGCACTTGAGCTGGAAAATAGCGGAAAGTTTTAGAGATGGCATGGTATTTCTTTCATGTACTTATGTAGACTATGGTCGGCTGGCAAACGCCTCCAGTATCATGATGACCAGTCCCCAATATACCATGTCAGTTCTCGCATGAATATCCGTTATTATTATTTCCTTATTTGTACTGGCTGCTGATAGTTTCCAAATTTCCTTGAAATGCAATAGTTGTCTAGTGAAAATGAGGTTTCTATAACTTTTACTTCACTCACAGAATTCTATACTAGTTCCACTATCGCTCAACAGATGACGCAAGCATTATGTTTTTTCAAAAACCCCAAACAAATGTTTTTATGTGACAAAACAATTAACGAAATGGACTGCCCATAAAGAAAAACTGACAGCTTCAAAACTAAAACTAAGTTGAAGTGATTATGGGACAAAACGAAAAAGAATGAATTCAAGAAAGAATTTGTTACCAGATAGAAAACTGAACAAAAGGATAAAAATAATATACAAAATCTTAACACGACCAGTGATCACATTAGCGATTGAAACGACAGCGATGACTAAAAAAATTGAAGGAAACATAGGAAGACTGGTAAAAAAAATCCAGGATCAGATATCACCACAGTATGATAATAAAAAGAAGAAATTGGAAAAAAGCTAGAGTTTGAAAATATATTCAATTAACACTTTATTGTGAGATTTTCACTGAACAGTTTACAAAACTTTCTTATTAGTCAGTAGGTTGGCTATGCTTGAAGACTGGCAGTAAACAAATCTAAAGAAATGAACTTTAAATGTTCAAGCCCATCTCGGAAATACCTACACAGTAGATTGAATGGACTGACGCCTATCAGAAAACAACTACTTCCCTGGCTAATACCACGAAGGGCGTTGGATTATATCCGACAGGCGTCAGTGCAGGAATATTCACAGAAAATTTCCTGCATATGCAATTGGCTATACAATTGAAAGAGTTGACCTTCAGTTTTGGAACGGGCACACTTGTAGACCGGTTTCGGGCTCATTATCCACTCTTCAGTGCAAGATAGTGGCCATCATCGACCTAAAGGCAATGATATTCCATAATCGAAAATCGGAATTCTTTCAGAGTATTTCCTTCCTCTTCCTAAGTTGGAGCGAACAACAAAATGTCACTCCATCTAGTGGACGAGGTACTAACCAACTGCATATCCGAAATTTGCCCGATTCCTCAACAATTTTGGACTACTGCCTCTATATATACTTTCTGATTGTAATTTTGAGTTTTGTCGAGTATTGCTGTATCTTCGAATGAGAAAATGCGAGTGCCTTCTTGTCGGTTTGTCTGAGTTGACAATTTCTCTTGTGTTCATAGAGACGGGTTCTGACACTTCTTTTCGTGGTTCCAATGAAGACCGAACTGCAGCAACAAGGAATCCGGTATTCCCCGGGTGTTGGTAAAGGTTCTCTGGGGTCTTAAGGCTTTATTGGCCTAAATATTGGCTTCACGCCGCATTCCTCTAAGATTATCCCAATCCGGCCTGTAACATCTTCAACATATAGGAAAGAAAAGCTTTTCCTTTAACAGCCTAGCTGGGGTGAGCTTGGTGTTCTCTCTCCTGGGTCGTATGGCTCGCTCGAGTTCTTCTTTGCTGTACCCATATCTTCTGAAGGCATTTTTTAGGTAATTATGAGTTCCTCAGGAAGACTATCATTTTCACAAATATGTCGTGCTCTCTCAAACAACGTTATAATCACCCCCTCCTCTGTTGTGGCTGGTGATTGGAGTTTTTTTCGGGTACCTGTCTGTGTGTGTTGGTTTCCTGTACACTGTATACTCTGTGGTCCAATGTACCGTCTTCACGTCAGTTCACAAGAACATCCAAGAAGACTGAAGTCCTTTGGATTTCTCGTTCCATTGTGAATTGAATTTTTGGGTCGAGAGAGTTTAGATATAAGAAAATCCTTCAGTATCCCTTCACCATCTTGCAATACCACGAACGTATCATCAACATAACGCAGCCAACAATATGATTTTGAGGTCGTTTTCTCTTAGGCCCGTTGTTCGAAATTTTCCATGAAAAATTTTGCCACCGCCGGACTTAATGAACCATAAGTTTGTTCGACCACGGCCAAAACACCCCGAAAACATCATCTGATCAACTACCTGGATAATATTTAATAACAATAATTCTTCTTTTCCGCAGGAAAATCCTGCGTTGTTTGACCTATTTCTAATTGCATTCAGTTTTGAGTATCAGTTCAATGAACACAAAAATGACACCCTTGTTTATTACGTGGCCAGTGAATTAAATCGACAAGTGTGAAAATTTATCGGGTAGGTGGCTCAGTGAAAGAGCACAGACTGATAAGTGTCAAATGATGAATGGCTTCCCGTCCCGACGGCCGGCGTCGACGTCGCCTCGCTC